CGAGGGAAAGCCTTAATTATAAAAATAATTAATATCGCCCCTCCGGGGCGAAGCTACCCCGGGTTCCCCCGGGGTTGCATCGGGCCGAGAGGCCCGAAGCTATAAATTACTAAATATACCCCCCCCTAATATGAAGCTGGACCTTATTAGAAATCTCAGATTATAATAATATTTTTATATTGTTAAAGGGGGAGAAATTTCTGAGGGATAGAAAATGGGCTATTCAATACAATAATAACGTATTTTAACACCCCCTCACGAGGGCCCCAAATACATTTGCTCTAACTAATCCTGTTCGGACCGCCCGGGGACCGGGCGGTCCTTCATTTTTAATATAAAAAGTTTGAAAAATTGTTTTTCTATATATAATAATAGGATGATAGTTTAATTGGTTAAAGCAGTCAACTCCAAACTGACAAATGGAAGTTCAAGTCTTCCTCGTCCTGTAATAAGACCAACTCTACGCCCAGTTTATTAAATTACCGTTTGTTTAATTTTTATTTTTTAAATATAAAATAAACGAAAAAGCATCTGGCCGGCAAGCCGGCCGGATGCACCCCCCTTCCCCGGGCCCTCCCTCCCCCATGGGGAGCCCCGCAGGCTTGCGGGGCCTCGTTCGACGGGGGAGCTGGCTTAGTTTTGTATTTTTTTTTATAATACATTATTTATTTTAAATAAACAAAACTCCGTGGAGACCCCTATATATTTTATAGGAATTGATTGCCCAATGGCGAGTTTGTCCCGGGTAAGGTTTTTAACCTATAATCAATATTGTCAAGTTAAGTGTAAAATTACTATAATATAAAGAGAATCCCTTAAGGGATGGTCCTTTTAAAAATCTTCCCGCCCCCCCCGCAAGCATCGGGCCTCCCGGCCCGATGCATCCGGCTCACCAGCCGTAAGCTTGCCGGGGGGGGGGGGTGGGTGATCTTTATACAAATCAGCTTCGAGGCGAAGCCTCGATGCACCAGGCTCCGCCTGGAGCTAAGTTTATTCTAGGAAAGGATCATGCTTAAAAGCATCGGCTATATAATTTATATCCGACATTAATCTATTAACTTAAACTTTGCTTCAGCCGAAGGACTGAAGCATCCCCCTCCGTTCGAGTTCGAGGGGGGAGCTGTTATTTTGGGATTTAATATAAATTTATATGAATAACAACAAATTAAAAATTCTTGCGCCTATAGTAGGAACTGTTTTTACTGGGTCTTTTGGGTATTATGTAGGTAAACTACAGGCTAAAACTGCAAAAGAGATAGCAGAAATTCAAGCTAAATCTGCAAAAGAAATAGCAGAAATTCAAGCTAAATCAGCTAAGGACTTAGCAGAGATGGCTTCAAATTCAGGTTTAAATAAGATTAAGAATGAATTAGATTTAATAAAATCTAAATTAAATACACCTGATTCTCCTTTTGATACGAATATTTCTAATATTAGAAATAAAAATATTAAATTAGAAGAAATAACTAAATCTAATCTTATTGACAATAATTCTGGATATGTTAATTCTCCCTTAGAAATTAGTTGGTTAAAAGATTTAGTTCATAATTTTGATTTTGAGAATATGCCATTTGAGGTATTGGTGGGACCCCAAAAAGGGCCCTCTTTCTTTAAAGGGGGGGTTTATTAAACATAAACTATTATACTTTGTCTAACCCCCCTTCTAACAGGGAGGGGGTGTTAATTCTATACGGTTGAATTAACAAAGGTGAAGTACTAAAATTTATTCTTTATTTATTAAGGATCTAGACAATACCCATCGCTCATTAAATACCCGACCATTATTAGAATAATTTAAAACTCGGCGATGAGTAGTACCAAAAAATTCCGCGGCTTTTCTAGCAGAAGAGAACGTATTAGTTAGTGTCGATAGATCAGATGTATATACATAGATAGCTGTACCTTTAGCGATGCTCATCCTAGTTTTAGTCTCCTCACTAACAATTTTCCCTAATTTAGCAAGGCTCATTTTCAATCTAGTCTCTTTACTAATTACTTTACCCTTATTGAAAGCCCCAATTTTTAATTTAGTCTCGTCGCTAAGAACTAAACCTTTTCTCAAGTCACTCATCTTAGCTAATGACTCCTCTGAATGTCTATAGCCAAATGAGTTTCCAGCATTTTTTAATATGTTGTACTGAGGATCAAGTAAATCTAAGTAATATTGTTCTCGTTCAAGTAAAAATTTGTTAAATCCTTCCCCATCTAAACCCTCCCCGGGGTTCGCGGGGAGTAAGAATGAATTTGTTGTATCAATTATCTCTAATATAGATAAACTAAAGATAGAATAACCATGTAAAAGTAGGGCCTTACTAATATAGCTAGTTTTAGCGCGAGTAAGAAACCTTACTGAATAATAACTACGTAACCGTTTAGAAAGATCCACCGCAGATCCTATGTACGCTTTTCCGGTCTCTTTGTGAGTCCATTGGTAAATCCCGGCTCTCCCTTTTCCATCCATTAAAATCCGGGACTTGTCAGTACCAGCATTATTGTAAATAACAACAGGCACGAAAGATCCATTCAAATTATTTGTATTCCCCATTAATTTTGAAAAAAATTATTGTGAACAGTCTATAAAGACATGCTTTGTAGTAAACTATATTCTTATATACTCGTGTTTATTATATTAAGTTGGGGCGGCCAGATTGGATATTTTTATACAAATAAAAGGGGGCTAACCCAGGTAGATCAGTAAAGCTGACTAATCATATACGCTTTTTTTCGGGTCTGTTACATCACTATTATGTTTATTTTTTTTAGCTCTATATGTGACTATTTATAAACTAGATCAACCTTTAGAAAATTATTATTCTGGTAATTTTCTTATCTTATTAAATTTTATAAAGCCTTTCTCTGATGGCCTTATTATGTTTTATCTTTCCTTGTTAGTTTGTACACTAACAATACTTTTAATAGTAGGTTTAAGATTATTAACGTAATTTAATTAAATTATAATTAAATTTTTAATAACTGCAGTAACCCCCCGAAGGGGGGGTTCTGTTTATTTTTAGATAATGTGTTGGAAAATGTATGGCTTCATTCTGCCTATAAATAAGAATGGGGGCTTTATTATTGTTATAAAGTTAAAATATTGTAAAATTAATAAAAATTAATTTAACACCCCCCCCTTCCTTTCTTCTTTCTTAAAAAAAAACTAATAATAAAACTTAAGCATCCCCTCCCCTGACCGGGCCCGGAAACTTCGGCCGAAAGGCCCGATGCATTTTTTAAAGAGCTTCGGGGGCTTTGCCCCCGATGCAACCCCGGTAACCCGGGGTAGCTTCCCCGGTAGGGGCATGCATTTCCCCCGAAGGGGAAAAGCTTCGCCCCGAAGGGGC